TTTTTTTTTTTTTAAGAGAAAACAGACCACTGACCAAGTAGCAGCCATGGGGTCTCTGCACTGTATCCAAGCCAAATGCACATACCATAAAAGAGATAAACAGAAAACAAGCACATCTTTCTCGACTTGCCCAATATAGTCTTGCGGCAAAAGCAAGAATGAAGATCCAGCTTTCCACAGATCCCCTGAGTATTAGCTACAGAAATCACCCTTTCTGTTTCTGCCAATACACAGCCCCACTGCACAGGCAACTTAAGCATTCTAGTAGCAAGTTACTTGCTAACAGAATTAGAGTTTCCGTTTAAAAAAAAATTTAAAAAAATTTAAAAAAGCAAATTTATACTTGGGACCATATTCAACTTTCATGTATTTCAGGTATCACTGCAACCTGCAGACCATGAGCCTTGCACTTGTGCTCATGGTGCAATGGGTTACCACATCTATACAGGAACTAAGGGGAAAAGCAGCATTTACACTTTACCAATGGGCTTTCACAACAGCAACAGAAGAACGATGAAATCGAAAGTCCAGGTTTATTCTTAGCTTTATTCTAAGGTATGAAGGACTGTACGATGCTAGAAAATCCTTCTGCTCTAACACTTCCACCCTGCCACCAAAATCATCAGCTATTCCCCACTTTAAGGACAATTCCTGGAACACGTAGCTGTTTGAGTAATGCACCTAATAGGGAACACCTCACTGTTCACCCCATAATTGTCCCTTTCTAGAAACCGCACGTTCTGTCAGATAAGCACTGCCTGCAGTTCTAAGCTACTCATTAAGAGGAACTTGTCTGACAAAAATAAACAGCAATGCAATATGAAAATGACTGAGGTCTGCCAACAACTGTGTTCATAAACTTTCAGAAAAGTTCCATCCCTCCACCTTCATTTCCACACCAAAAAGATTCAAAGAATGTTACCAGCTTCAGAAAAGCATTTGTGAGGTTCCAATAACTATTTTTAACGCATCCTTTACTTCACTTTTAAATGTTTAAAGCTCTAAGAAAAGGCTGACAGTTTATCTTGAAAATAAGTCATTTGTTTTCAGAATACTTAATCCTTGGCATTAATAAGAGTTACTGTTAGTATTGCAGTTACCATCCGTTGGAGAATTGGCCTCTGTTCTAACTTTTGATTTTTCAAGATCTTCTTTGTATTCTTTCTTCAGTTGTTTTACAATCTTTTTGCTGTAACTCGATTTCTTCACCTTAAAAACTTCTTCAGTTTCTTTAAAAGAGAAGTTGAAAAAAATATTACATAAGCCCTGCCAAGCAGGATACCTGTCTCCTAAATCTCTTGGTACCTAGAACATTTAATAAGTGCTACTAAGAATGCAGTTTAATGGGACTTTACACTTTTGTTACCGTGCCAAAAGCAGCCCTATAATAATATTCCTTTGAAGATCCATGCCTACCTTGCTTTCTGCTGTATTATTTTTTCCAAGTGCACCTCATCCACAGCATCACAAAAGCAAGGCTACAGTGACACCAAAGMACAGTGTAGTGAAGTGTAACTTGCTTTTATCTGACTATAGGAAACCCCTCTGTAACAGCCAATTCCCCACTGGGACCCCAGATTTGAAAGAAGACAATAAGCAGCCTGCATGTTCATTAATGCTCCTTTAACATTCATAAATGCACATGTCATTACAACTAAATAGATAAGGGGTTAGGCAGCACTTTTTTGCTGTTTTTTTGCTTGTACTACAAGTTTAAAGGCCTGAAGAACTAGAACCTACAAAAGGGTACCCAATAAATCAAAACAAAAAACCCCAAACTAAACAGCATCACAAAATTAACATTTGATCTCAGAAACCCAAGTTTCTTTTTCCAAGTATATACTGTAAAAATAAGAGTAATCTCTCCAGATTCCTATGTTAAAGTCTTGGAATCCAATTTCCTGTGTACAAGAATAGCCTTTCTTAAGAGAAAAAAAAAAAAAAAAAAAAAAAAAAAAGGAGAGGGAGGGTATAGAAGGGAAATGAAAACGCTTTCCAAC